TTGAAAGAGCTGGAAACCAACTGACCAACAGCTTGGCTAATACCAAATGCATATATGTAATCATAAAGGTAAACAGATGGACATCCAAGCAAACAGTCAGACAGTCCAGTTGAGTTCATTTGAGGTCTGTTGATGTGGGTAAGTGACAAGGGAAAGGTCTGCTAGAATATTCAAATGGGTGTTAAATGCTATCCACCCCTGTTCATTAGACAGTAATCTCCAATACAGATTAATGGTATAATATATTGCGATTTATGTCTCCTATTTAAACTGTATACCTATCTTAACCAACGTACAAATCATAATTCGAGGTTCACCAGGCATGGCCACTTATAGTTCATCGAAAAGTCATTAATTAATCCAGGAATCCATCGAATTTCGCCTCTCCAATTAGCTGCCATTGAGTAATTAGGAGGTCAGTTTCTTGTGCGTAGCCAATCAACGCTCCCGCTCCATTTACATAACACCTAACCACTAATTATGCAATTATGCAAGCCAGTTCCAGGGAAATCATATGCCAAGACCACTTCTCGACCGTCATGGTCCCTCATTTGTATGCAACGTCAGGCAAAGTGCAAAATCAGCATTTCTCATTAGATGAAATTCTCAGAGCCAAGACCAAGAAAAAAAAAAGTGTAGCCTCAAAAAATTAGATTAATTTGAAATGAAATTTCAACCAAAGGCCCGCGGATTTCCTTCGGGGCTGGCCGGCATTTGTAATTAGTTTTAAGCGAATTCTGGGCCGCAAACATTTCAAGGTTTAATGCATGGCTGGCGAGCCTTGAGGAAACTTTTCCGTCTTTTGGGTCAGACCTATGTCAAGCTCAGTTAAAAAAAAAAATGTCGGGAAAAAAGGGACGCAAAAGGGTATAAAGGAGCTGGCCGCATATGAAGTGTATAAATTACACTTCATCATGAATTTATTATCAGTGCTGCAGCAGCTGCATCTGGAGCTGCCACGAATGCACCACTGCAGCACGCTTGCTCAGCACAAGATGTGCTCCTTTCCTTTCTCACCTGCACACAAACACAGCCACAACAAGATGGAAAAGGATTTCTAGGATCGAAGCTTTAAATACCCTAGATGTTTAATCATTATCTACTACGTCGTTTTTTCGACATTAGGGGGACAAATAAAATCTCTGAAAATTAAAATAATTTTTTAAAGTGTCTAAAAGTATGCAGTGATAAAAAGGCAGTCTTATAAAATAAATTTATCGGGTTTTCCAGTTAAAAATTTACTTTAACACCCTTGATTATTACTTAAGCGACAACAAAAAATGGTCTTCAAATCATAATCTATAGATTATATAATATACTATTTTGAGATTATAGACTGTACCTTTTATGGTGCATTTCGGAAATAACAAGAAAATATTTAATATGTTTGTACATAAAAACATTTCATGCATTATGACATCAAAATGTTAATAATAAAATAAATGAATTTTTAAAGCCTTTTTACTAATCATTTTTTTAATACCTCGTTGCTTATATGCTTTGTGTCTATTTTAGTTTCCCTCTCCCATCAAATGTTTCTGGATTTTTGAAACTCTGTGAGATGTGTATTTTAAGTATTGGCTATAAAAGGTATCAAAATTTGCAACGTGTTCCGATTTTAATCAATCATTGATGCTATATTGAGGTTGTAAAATCTAAAAAATCTGAAATACCCTTAGAAATGCAGTAAAAGGGGTGCTAAACACGCAGCAAGGCAACAACAGCGATTGTGGGATGTTGACCAGGGCATGCATTTTTCGCGCCAGCCAACTTGAAATTGTGTAAACTCAGCGGAAAAATATTAATTCTAATTTCCAAAGCCATGCCAGTCCAAGGACTTTTGCCTTTCCCCTTATAACTGCTTGCCGTTTAGCAGCACCTTTAATTTTGCACTTTATAGCCGACCGAAGAAAATCTTCCCTTTTTTTGTGCTCTCTTACTGTCGTTACACGACCATTTGGAGCTTTCATCAATTAGCTCCTTGAAAGCAGAAAAAAGGAGGCAAACGCTGAATAGCTTTTAGTGTCGTAAGACTGCCAGGCAAAAGGCTTATGCTAAAAAACTTCTGCCTTGCCCAGTTTTTTTCGGCAGAAACGCTTTCGTAAATAATTGTCAGGCTTATAGGGCCCCTTTTGGTAAATCGCATTCTCAAGTGGATGAGTGAAATGGACTGTTAAATACAAAAGCAGCAGATGTTATTTTGTACCATTGCAAATCTTACACTTTCCTGAGTAGTGCCAAGAATAAACAGCTGGAAAGGATTAAGGCGGGGTATACCAATCATTTATTGGCAGATACAGTAGCCATACGCATATTAATATTTGAGTAGGTTTAACAAAAAGCATCTATTCTATGTATACAAAAAACCATGTCCAATAGATACTAACCAACCCGCATAAAATTTCAAATTATTGCGATACAAATGCATTTGTGTTGCTGAGTAAATTCGCAAACTTACCCAGAGGTTTTCACTTTCAACAATATTCGAGTGTGGCCAGCACTTTGGTACATATAAATCAGGCTTTTGCTTGTTTATGCTGCTTACTTGGGAAATTAATTACCCAATATTAGAAAAATAGGTTATTTCTCTTAAAAATGACATTAAAGATGGGTCATATAATTTATTTTGCATTCAAAATAATGATAAAATAGTTTGGTTTGTGTAATAAAATTAAATTTGAAAATAAAATTTAAACATAAAGGGTCTGTTTAAATATATATTTAAAACTGTTTAAAATTATGTAAATAAATAAGTGTCAATGTCAAAGGCTAAAAATTTCCTGTCAGCCAGCATAGAAAATTTCTGGATTAATTATGTGATTTATCTAAAGTTCAAATATGAAGGCAAACAAAAAATAGGTCTATCCAACGTTGTCAACGAGTCTGTGTATATGCACTTTGGCCTTAAACTGTCGTCAAGCGAATTCGCGCAGCCAGGTGGCAAAACGAAAAAAATTAATTTGATAATTAAACACAGTGCGCTCATCGTTTTAATCTCTGCGCACATTTTGCATATTAATCACTTAATTAGGTTAACATTATTAAAATAAACATGCCCGTCTCTCTGCTGGCTTGGTGCCCGTATTTATCAGGTAAACACACAGAAACACATACGCACACGTGTTGTATAGGTTGGACTTAATTTTATGTGACGCAGGTGCTTGAAATGGTGGGCTCAAAGGCTCATTTCAGCCCTCTATGTGTGTGCGTTCATTAGGCCAACTATACGCGCAGCCACCTATCGGGCACCCGACGAACTCCCGCTAAGAGTTTAAGCACGAAAAAAAATATAAGATTATAAAACAGCAGTATATTATTAATACATATATGTGTGCACTTTAATTAAAAAAAAATAAAAACACTTTTAAAAAAGAACAAAAATGAATAAAAAGTAAAATTTCAAAAAAAAAATATATTTTATATAATAAAACTTGTTGTTTTATATGAAAAACGGAAGGTTGGGCTCAACATCGCTTTACAAATTTGATTTTAAAGTTCGTAGCAACAATTTTGTTAATATTTTTTCCTAATGTCTTTTATTTTAAAAGTAATTTTAGTAATATTTATTTCTGTGTACATGCCAGGAATGCCAACGATTAGATATGGAGAAATTCATACGACAGTCAAATAAACGCGTGCTGCAGTCGCGAAGGAATGTGTGTGTATCCTTATCACAGGGCACATAAATAATATTTATTGTTCTTTATGGGGCAGCTCAAAGGGCCGCGAAGATGCCAACCCCACGGCCTAGTGTCAGTTGGGAAACATTCAAGTGTTTCAAATATTTTTAACAGCTTTCCCCCGACGCTGCCACACTCACACTCGCCCCCGGAAAATGTCTTCATTGCGCTTTAATGAAATGCGTAAGGGAAAACGGTGGGTTGACAGCGAGTTGGTGTGGATTTTCCCGCTCTCCCTTGCTATTTGCACTTTAAATTGCGCACAAAAGTATGCTCTAGCCTTCATAATAAACACAATTTATGTGCCGCCTACCTTTTCGTTTCTTATTTCCTTTGCGCAAACATTTCTCTGCCAGAACTTTGCGATTAAGTAATTCCGAAAGTTGTTTGTAAAAAATTACTCAAGTTCATGGAATGTGTTTGCTAGTAATATTTTAAATTGAGCGACACTGCCATCTGATATTAATAATATTTTTCGGGGCCGTGAGCCCGGTGTCTCCAGCGAAACTTTCACCAGACTTGCCCGGAAGTAGGGTTCATCCCGCCGCAAAGAGGCATCAATCAACTTGAGCATCAATCATCCTGAGGTTCAGTTAGCAGAAGGTGAGTGACGAATGCCGAGGAGATGGCAGCCAGGATTGCAAGGTGTCAACAGAGGAAATTATATTTGGATGGGATAATTGTTCAATGGGAAAGTAAATAAATGTAGGTGCTTTGAATTTGTATTATTATTTATTCAATTGTTTTGGGAGTTACAAAATAAAAAATTTATTGGGAAGCAATTGAACTGTATACAAAATATTATTATTCAATGTTTTTATTTATTTGATTAATTATTTAAAATTTCAAAGTAATATAATTTAAACAAATTTGTTGCAGAGCAGTTGAACGTTGAGCCACGTTTGTTTTAAACTTTCAAACTCATTAATGCAGAATGCGGCGTCAGTATAATTATGTAGCATAGTTAAAACCAATGGGGTTGAAAATTCAAGGATATTTTGTCAAGTCATCCCTAAGTATCACGTGCTATTAATTGTATCTTGAAACTAAGCAACTTCAACCCTTTTACAATCGATGACTGGCAAAAATTGCCATAACAAAAGCTTTAACTTAGAGATCTTTTGAAAGATTAAAAACAAGGAATGGGTTATACATTTGTTGAAGACTTAATGTTTCACTCTATTTCAGTCTTTAAGAATGCTTTGTGGATTGCATTTCGTCTGCGGTGTTTGTTTCTTTCTCGGGGTCTTGGCCTTGCCACCGATTCCCTTTGAGGGAAAGACCTATGAATCGGCTTTTCTACATAACTTGACCAGTCAAATGGTAGCCGAAAACCGGATCGAAACGCTGGCCTCATACGGAGTAAATTGGGAACGGTACCGATTGGGACCGATTGTGGCCAAATCCATTGAGCAATCGTTGATGGAGGAATTCCAAGTACCAATCGTCGTTTGGGGACTGAGACGTAATATCAGTATTCGCCATTTGCTGGGCTACAAAACTTTGATCTGTGTTAGCATATCCAGTGTGGTGCCCGACGTGGATCCCATTTTTGATGTCCTAAACGATGGCTTGGTGGGCTTGCACTATGTTCCAATGCTCTTTATCTACAAACCTTTGCGAATGATGGCGCCAACGAGGAATATGTTACATGTATTTTTTGCCTGGTGCTGGCAGCACAGGTTCACCAATGTGTTTCTAACATTTTATCTACGTTCGCTTGATAATAGTTCTTGGAAATTCAGCAAAGGTGGGCGCAATGAAATCTATAGCTACACACCATTTCCCAATCTCACTATTCGGAATATAACTGAGACGGGATACCAGCCCGTGGACATAATGATGAATCTAACGGGCTATGAGTTTAGAGTGCCTGTATTTCAGGATCCCCCCACGGTCTTTCAGGTATAATATTTGTCTTAACTGTAACTTAATTAAAACAAGAAAGGAAGTTAGCTTCGGCATGCCGAAGTTTGTATACCCTAAATTCTGGATAATCCAAATAATGATATTCCCAATAGTATAAGATAATATGTCAAAAAACACAGAAGCTATAATTTGTTTCATACTACTTTCCCACCAATTTTCCGATTGTTCCTATGGCTGCAATATGACATAGACGTCCGATTTTGATAAAATTAAATTCGAAATTCAGAACTAATTAAAAAATAAAAAAAATTATTTCCCAGCGTAAGAGTTTATATGTTAAATAACACCAAAGAAAAAATGTTGTAAAATTTTTTTTTATATACTACCTGCAAAAGAAATAAGACTTTTGGGAAAGTTTCAGCCCGATAGCTTTAAAACTGAGAGACTAGTTTGCGTAGAAACAGACGGACATGGCTAGATCGATTCGTCTAGTGATGCTGATCAAGAATATATACACTTTATGGGGTCAGAAACGTCTCCTTCACTGCGTTGCAAACTTTTGACCGAAATCATAATACCCTCTGCAAGGATATAAAAAGCGTAGTTATAATATGATTCTTTAAAAATGTTTAATTTACAATAACCTTAATAAAATTATTTTTTGGCGGGTTAATTAAAAGAAGTAATAAGAAATTACAAATTTTATGTTTAAGTTTAATAATTATGTTAAATGATAATTCTATTCAACCATACCAGGTTCACGGATTACTAACTACTAATAGGCCTATTAAAGCATTTCAAGAAAAGTAAAACAAATTATATAATTAAAATATTTCTTTAAATTCTTAATCCTTACAATTTGTATACGTTTTATGGGCTTAACACAGACCTACACGTATTATCCCATACATTTGGAATCCAATTATTCTCTTAGTTATTTGATTTTAAGTTAACATAGACTTATATTTGTATCTTTTATATATATTTGTAACAGCTCCCAAACGGCGATCTATCCGGTTCCCTGGGCCTCATGTTTTCCGCTTACGTGCACCACAGAATGGGGGTTCTCCGCCCGGAGCCCAACGCCCATGTAAATAGGTACAGCTACCAGGAGCACCTGATGCTGGCCGCTGCCCGCGGCGAAATCGAGATGGGCGTGCACCCGTACTCCTCGATGCAGCTCAACTCCTCACTGACGGACGGTAGTTTCCCTCTGGGTATGACCAACACCTGTGTTTTAGTGCCCTGGCAGCGGGAATCGCCTCAGGTCCGGTTCATGCAGGTGGCCGCCCAAATAAATGGTCCCTGTTTCCTGATACTCCTTGTGGCGATGACCCTATCCTGGCAGCTGGTCCATGGACGATGGCGACGAGGCGTTCATCTCACTTTGGTGACCTTCTTTCAGCAATCGGTGCCGAACAGAGAGTTTCATCACTTGGCCGAGCCATACAAGATCATCCATGTTGCCTTGCTCCTCGGCTCTTTAGTTCTATGGACAATGCGCGCGGGGTATTTGTCATCGGTGTTTACCTCACAGGTGGGTTGGTAAAAAAATATTTAAAAAAAGTTATTGGCGTTAGAACGTCGTATGTAATATAATAAAAAATATGAAAGAACGCATAGTCGGTGGCCACAGCTAAGAATAGTGCGAGGAAGATGGAGATATGCATGCAGCATATGGGCTGTTTTTGAGATTGCACACTTTATTTGCTTATAACTTTTTAATAAATAGTCCGATTTGAACCATTTTTGACATGTAGGTTGGTATAGATAATTAGAACAAATTTCATTTACACTTTTACAAATTATAAAATGATGATGATATATAAATTTTTTAAAATCCAGGTTCCTGGGTGGCAGATTAATACCGCCAAAGACTTTCTGGCCACGCCATTACAGCTCATGTTGACGGAAACGGAAGTGGAAATGTATTTTACCGCAGGACTCCTGCCTTCGGCACTAATGCCCCGCCTCCTCGTGGTCAACAAGACGACGCTGATGGAGCACTTGGACAGCTTGAATAGCAGCTACGCCTACTGCACCACCGCGGAGCACTGGAGTGTGGTTATGTTGCAGCAACGCCGCATGTACCGCCCACCATTTCGACTGGCCTCGAACCTCTGTACCACCCCTCGATTTCTGCGATTTCCCGTGCAGCGGAATTCGCCCTTCCAGCAGAACTTCAACCGCTTTGGCATCCATTCGCTGCAATTTGGCTTCTGGGCCCACTGGACGAGGAAAAGTCTGCTGGAGGCGATCCAACTACGTCTCGTCGTCGAACTCACTGATGACTATGTGCCCTTCCAGAGCTTGACACTCGCGGATTTCCAAGTTCTGATCAAAATATACCTTCTTTGTTTACTGGGCAGTAGTCTGTGCCTTTTTGGTGAATTTATTTGTAATTTTTATAATAATTACAGGAACGCAAGATAAAGTTGAGGTTCTAATAACACATTTTTTTTTACTTATTTAAAGGTTAAAGAACTCGTTTTCTCATTTAGGAAAGTAAATAAAATGAAATTTAAAGTATATTTTGTTAAGTTTGTTCACCAAATAAAATAATCAGAAAAAAAAAAAATTTTAACTAAATAAAAAAAAAATTTTGTTGTAGACCAACAAGAACCTTAAATTAACTTAAAAATGGATTTTACAATCCCTTTACAATATGGAACCTAGTCTTGAGACCGTTTATCATTTCCCTCAGGGGTGGCACAATCATATTTGAGCGCAACTCATTTGGCTTAACTTTTGTCTGCAGAACTTCGCAAAGCAAATCGAAAGATGGAACGGAGAGTCGTTGGGCAATTGGAAACATATCGACGACTGGGTAAATAGAAAATTCAATTTGAAGCGATTGCTTACTGGATAACGAAAGCCTTCCTACCTGCCAGTCTGTCTGTTGTGCACTTTTGGGCCAGCCTTCAGCAGAACTTTCCACAGGCAATCCGAATGGCATACGCTTCTGGCCCTCATTCCCATCATGTCAGCTCCACCACCCTACCCCTCCCCCCAAAAAACCTTGCCCAATCCCCGCCCATGGCTCCTGCCCACTCAGCAAGTTGGCCACAAACAAACTTCCTGTATCGATGGTAACACTCACGTACCGTTATCGCCCAGCCCCCGGGCCAATATCTAAGTGAAAACACAGATCAACAGTACGACAATCAGCAGAGAAACAGGCCCAGACCCCACAGACACACATCCGCAGTCAGGAACATATTCCCATTCCCACTTCCACTTCCACTGCCACATCCACATCCACAGCCACTCCGTTTCCAATCCCAGAACTCTCACCTGCAACGTAGGCAACATCAGACAAGGCAAAGGTAAAGGCAAAGACAAGGCCGGAGGCCCCAAGACATCTGCACCGGAGAAAAACTAGATCTATGTATGTTAATGCAGTTAGATCTAGGCTAAACACTTTTTTAGGTCTTAGTAATGCCATAAATAATGTATATGGATATAAAAATCACCACTATGTGATGAAAAAAAAGAAGAATTTCAAGTAAGTACCCAATCTTATTAACATCCCGAACCCCTTAATTTGTCACGTTGTAAGACCAAGTTAAATCTTTCAATAAATATTATTAAAATGTTTCGAGATTTGTAATTTCTGCCTACTGTCAAATATCGTTCTGCAAAATTAGGATTATAAGTAAAAGATCTTAAAATTTCTAAATATATATCGAAATAATGAATATAAGCTGGAGCTTTTATGAAGAAATGGGCCATTTATTAATTAAAGCTAAATTAATTAAAGCTAATTAAGCTTTGGTTTATTGAATTGACTTAGATTTCCATAAGTACGACTTTTTACCTATTCCTGCCTATTGGTACAATTATTTCTTAAATATGCAAGTCTACAAAGGTTTTTGAATGCTTTTTTTCCAAGTGTGTTTACCATTTCCCCCACAAAATGGCAGGCAGGTTACAAATTGTATGCTCTAGCTCCTCGCTACATGTTCCCCTTCCAAACTCAACCTTTCCGGATCCTTGAAACACTTTGATTGGTTGGAGGCCCCCTTCCCCATTCCCTTATTTTTGCACGTATTACGGCAAGTTGCATTTCTTGGATTGCATTTAAGCAACATTTATGCATTTTTAATGTGACAGCTGAAATGATGAGATGGCAGCCTAGGATTCCTATTCCACCCCCCTGCTTCTTTGTGCTGACAGCGTGTGTGTAGACCTGTTCACCTGCCACCCCGCATCTACCACCCTTTGACCCCATGGCTTATGCATTTTGCAGTGTCAAGAAAGTTTCACTCTCGTTTCACTGAGGCCAAGTCCGACAATTCCAGTAAATCATTAGATAATGTGCCAGGGATTTGCGTGGGCTCAGCACGTCATGAATGATATATTGTATGGATCATACATATTTTGGAATAGGAAAAAGGTTATCGAGATATAATAGAAAACCATGAATATAAATAATTGCGTAAGACATATACAAAATACAATTAATTGAATAAAATAGTTTTTTTTAATCAGCTAGAGATATGTTTACACAATTTAAATGTTGGCCGGAGTTGCAATAACAACAGGTATTAAGAAAACATTTCATGTTCTTATGAACCTTATATATAGCATAAAATAACATTAAGATACATTGTAAGTAACTTAAACCATTTTAAATACATTGTAACTGATAAATTTATGTTTAATTCCACTTTAACTAAAGACCAATGCATTGAAAATTGAAAAAATAATTCTTTGGGCAGGCAGCAGCTGCTTTGGCATGTTCGGATTACCATAAACTGGCAGCCATTGCCCACCATCTAGCACCAATAATGGGCCACTTTGGGCCACATCCAAATGAGGACCTGACCGCAATTGACTGCCAACTAGGCGCGTGCATAATCATTGCAATTTTGTATGATTTCCAGCCATGCCCCCATTTGACCCCGCCCCCGCAACACAATCGCCCCACTTGAATGGCAAATACCACGCAGCGACCGCAAAAAGCAACGGTCCTGTATCGACACTGGCTTTTGCCGGGACCAAAATCCTTACTCCGCCGCCTGTAAGTATGCAATGGTTTTTGTACCTGGTACTTGGATTATGATGGGGCGTATCACATGTATAAATGTAAATATGGTTAGTAAAGCCAATGTAAAAAGGTTTTAAAAATATTTCATACTTTTAAATAATTTAAGAGGTGTCTAAAACCTGGTAAAAATACCTACTCTTAAAAGCGACTTAAATTTATTTCTGAATCTGTGGACCCATAGTACATTTTTGTATCTGGTACTTGAAATTTGCTGGGGCGTATTATATGTATAATTGTTAATGAAGAGGCTGAACCTCAAGAAATTAACTGGACAAAAGTTAGCATCAAAAGTAAGAGCTGTAAAGGTTTTCAAAATATTATATATTTTCAAATCGTTTATAAAGGTTCCTAAAAGCCGACTACAAAATATTTTCTTTCCTAAAACCTAGTATTAGATACCTAAAAAGGGATTTAAAATATAAGTGATTAATAAGACTCCCAACAGAAGCATAATAATAAACAATTTTTAGTAATTTTATAAAGATCTAAATATTTAAATTTCAATTACATTGTAAATTGGTTTTTCCAGCAGTTAGTGCTACGCCTAAAAGTATGCTAACCGAATTGCTGGGTATTCCTTGATCAGGCATTCGACCATGACATCCTTAGTCGTTGTGAAATGGAAACAGGAGCAGCGACAACTGCAAGTGCAACGTTGGTGTTTATTAGCATGATTAACCCCGCCGCATTGCCGCACAAATTGCAAACGCATTGAATTTAGGTCAGCGGGCGGATAATGAGGGGGGCTGATGTCGGATTGGGGGCGTGTTGGCGGTGGTTTAGGCCAGTGGGTGGTGGGTGCCATATAGCGGTTGGTGGAAAATGTCAGAGCATCTTGTAATTTGATTTCGCCGTCATCCTGGCAATCGGCGCCGCTGTTTGCTGGCTGTTTGTGAGCTGGCCGTTGGTTATTGGCCTGACATTTTCCTGATTGCCATGGCCAACAAAGGCTGGCTGCCTGAGCACCAATTTGAGTGGCTCAAAGAAATGTATACCTAGATTGTTAAAGGTTCGAGCCTAATTAGTTTTGGATGCACTTCACGGAGGTTGTATAGAGGAAGAGAGAGGGAGTCACGCATACGGGCCCTAAACAAAAAGCCGAAAGGCTTGTCGCACTTGGCTTGCTTCGTTTCATTTCCGGTTAACCACATCCTGCGTAATAAGCGGCACTTCCGCTCCGCAATGGGCTTAAACTGTTTTGTTTTCGGCGCTGTCATTGTTGGCTTTTGCCAGGTCCTGTTTTTATTGTGAGTCAAATTTTCGTTTCAGGCAGAAGACAGGAGTTGGAGCAGCACCAGGATGCTGTTACTTCCGGCCGCCTTTAAAAAGTACACAAAGGAAAATGAGGTTTTCAATATTTGTATATTACTGCAAATGTGCCACACAATTATAAAGATAGTTAAAAACAATTTAAAGGTGCCTAAAAGTATGCTTTAAAAAAGATTATTTTGTCTTTCAGCATTTGTCTGTGAAATTTTTAAGCTTTTAAAGTAATGTAACATACTTTTAGGCACAATTTTGCGAGATTCAAAGATCATTTTTAATTTTGAATATGAAGATAGGAGAATTGGTGTCCAAACCTTATGATTTTTTCCCTCTGTCCAATAGTTTGGTCTCGAAAGTTTCAGAGCTTTGCATGAGAATGGCACGTTTATGGGCCTTTCTTGTTAGCCCCCTGCGTGCCATGCAAAATAGAGAAGCGATGCCGCAAACTTGAGCTGCATTTTTATTTGCAATTCACTCGATGGCTTGCCAGCAGCCATTGTTGCTGTAATTGCCTGTGTAGGACATGGCACTTGGCTAGCCAAAATGAAAGAGCCCCGCCTTCAGGAGCAATGGAATTGTTTGTTTGTCGGGTGCAACAACTGGCCCGGTATTGTGGGTTGGCTTACGCTAAATGAATTCAACTCCATTTGGCAGTTCCAAGCGTTCCCGGGTCCCCTACAGTCTAATTGTTGACATAATTAACCTCCCCATCGGAGCACTCGATGCTGTGCCATGTGGCACCATTCATTAACATTTCGCACATCGCCTACGAAATTTTGGTAGCAGCCAAAACACTTAAATAATGCGCAATTTCTGTGTAATTGCGTTGCAAGTTTGCGGCAACAATGTGGCGTGCTGCAGGACTCCGGACGGAAGTGCAGGGGCACTTGAGATGCGCCCAGCACTACGTGCCACCTGCCAGCCCCACCACGTTGTATTATAATAGACCCACTACCCAAACATATGTTGCACAATCATTTTATTTGCACGAATTAAGCGGCACTCGTCGTGAAATGTTTACCGTGGCGAAAGTAGAAAAAATAATGATTTTTCATTTACATTTATAATTTGCATTCCATATAAAAGAATAAATCTTAGGATTACAATTAACAAATACTCCAAATTCTTTGA